AGGCAGCCTGTCCCGGGTCTCCCGCACTCGGTTGCTGAGCACGTGCTGGTCCCCGCTCGCATCCTCTGCCCGCAGCCGTTGCCCACACTGGTCCCCACCTCTCCTCTCCGCCGCGGTCTGGGCACGCGGGGACGCAGCCTGCTCCGAAAGGGATGAGTGCGAAGGAGCTGTGCTGCGGTCGCTCCTGGCTGCCGCAGCACGGTCCCAGGTCCCACATCCACGTGTGCGCGGAGGGGACGGGGCAGCGCGAGGGTCCCCCGGCCACAACCAGGCCCGAGCTGGTGTGCTCGTGGGGTGGCACAAAACAATTTCTAAGGCTCTGCTTCCTCCGCAGGCATGTAATGAATTTACCACGCATGTGATGAACCTTCTCCGAGAACAGAGTCGGACACGTCCCATTTCTCCCAAGGAGATTGAAAGGATGGTGGGCATCATTCATCGAAAATTCAGCTCCATCCAGATGCAACTCAAACAAAGTACTTGTGAAGCAGTAATGATTTTAAGATCAAGGTTCCTCGATGCCAGGTAAGGCAGGGGTGAGTGCCACTGGCTCTTTTTGGGGGGGAAGAGGCAGTTGCTGGGCAGCCCCAAGGAGAGCCTGGCCCTGCTGGGGGCTGCGTCCCCACCTGGGCACGGACCTGCTGGGAGACCTACTGCGCCCCAGGAACCAGCCAGGAGCTCAGCACCCGGCCCCACTGACCTCCGAAGCAGGCTGTACTTTCTGCAGGCTGCGAGGAAGCAGGCAGATGGGGATTAAGAGGGAATTTATAGGCACAGCCAGATTTGTTTGGAAACCCTGACGAGGTGGGACATCAGTCCCCAGCCTCAGCCCTTTCGCAGGGCTCCGCTCCGCAGAACAGGACCCTGGCAGCTGGCAGAGCCCAGTGGAGCAGGAGCCGTGCCCGCAGAGCAGGGAGGAGCAGCAGGCACCATGCAGAGCCTCCCTTCAGCAACGAGCTCATGCTTCACACCTGAAAGCTGTGAGGAGCTAAACAAGAGCAAAATAATTTTATTAACAAGGAGGTCACCGGCAGGTGTGGCAAATTAGGGTAATTACAAACAGTTGGAGGAAATGTCTATGGAGAGCTCCAGTAACTGCGAAAGGTAAAGCTTGCAGATGCACGTTTTAAAGTGGTTTCTTTAAAAAGGAGGAAGGTAAATAAGGCAAAATGAGCGGAAGCGCAGTAATGAGATAAACATAGCTCTAGGGAGAGAGTCTGCCTGCTCCAGGATACGGCGTAGTTAGCAGCATCGTGGTACTGCTGGAAGAGAGCGCTGGGGATTGCGCTCGGCTGCTGCTGGCCCGGGGCGCAGGCAGCGATTTTGTGCGGGGACGCCGCTCGGCAGGAGACGTTTAACCGGGGCTTTCCGCAGATGTTCTGGGGACAAAGATGCTGCCGCTGTAACCTGCGCGGTGAGAGCGCGGCAGCGGGCCGCTGCACTGCGGGGCTGGCTGGAGCACGTGCCGGTGGCACGCTCCGGAAAGGCTTCGCGTTCCGGCCCGGCTGCACACCTCGGCACCCATCCCACACGGCACGAGAGCGCGGGCCCCGCTGAGCCCTCGGCAGGAGGGTGTACAGATGGGTCTCCCTCGCAAAGCCCTGAAAGCCACTTGCTCACGGAAGCCAATTAGCTCAGCGGGTGCCACG